CTCTTCTTCTTGTACCTATACCTGTACGAACATTATATTTTTTTTTTGAAGAAATCTTGCCTTCAGCAGATGGCTGTTTAGTATATTCAATTTTTAAAAAGCCATGTGTTCCTTTCCTTCAGCTGCTTCATTTTTATCGATTACACATTTCTCGCAGCCATCTCGCAAAAAAAATATATATATATGCATAGAGAGAGATGGACAGAAATTAAGCGCGGAGAATAATTCAATATCATCTCTGAAATTGGACTCGTAACCTCGACTATAGGGAATCCAGTCTACAATCCAGTAAAGCAATTGTTCGCATGCTAAGTAACTCTGGTGGGCAAGAAAGTAGGAGTGTTGGTTTCGGTGAGTGGTCACAGTGTCTTCATATAGTAAGACTTCCGGTCAGCCGGCGGCGGAACTACGCTTCGCGATCAACAGTCCTCTATCTAACACTGGACACTATAAGTACAAGACAATAATTCCACCATTCCTATCCTTAATCACCCTTATTTACAGACCGTTTTTATGGCCACTGTTCTTTTTATATACTATACGCACATACATTTTTTTTTGTTGTTGTTGTTATTCTTTTCATTCTTTCCACTCCATTCTTTCATTCATGATTTGTGTACCACGCATGTGACTCCTCGAAGAACTAATAGTCGCTGCTCCCCTATGCTTACCATTATTTTCTTATTAGAATTATGGTGAAAAAATTGTAAGAACAAGCGCCTGGAACGAATCTGCCCAACACCCCCTCAGCAAGTCAAATTGGAATAAGAATTGGAACGGTCGTTAATTCCCAATTGCCCTCGAAGGCAAAACAACTAAGAAAAAATGAACAACAACGCACGGGTGAAAAAAATGCTTAAATTTATGTTAATGCCACTTAAATTTATACAGTTTAGTTACAAGAAGTGTTCTATTTCGTTCTGTTCTTTTTTTTTTCACTCGGAACCGAAAAAATAACGTAATTAGTTTCTAATACAAAATTAGTTTTCATGAAATAACCGTTACTTTTGTTCACGTCTATAAAATCATAATATATTAATTAACTTATTAATTTTTTTTACAACTAAATTATAAACAGGATTCTATTCAATTCTTGAGACTTACATATAAAATTTAATTAATTAATTAATTGTACCTACATTCAAATTAAGCTTAATTTTATACAAACTTCAATCGTTTTATTTTTTTTTCAATTTTTTTATTAAATTCTTAATATCATTATAATATTTATAAAGATTCAAAGTTAAAACAATATTTACTAAAATTAATATAAAAAAATGATTGATGCATCAATTACTATACATAACGAAATTTACTGATTCAAGTTGAGAAGACAACTTTAAGCATCATTCTATGTAAATATTTCACAAAGTATTGTATTTAAATTATACTAGATAGATTGTTTTATGTTTAAAATAGGATTGTTTTTAATTTCTAAAACAATTAAATGACAAATAGCACAAAAATATTGGTATGCGTAGGATGAAAACGTAATCATTGCATAACAGCTTCTACAATCTAATTGAAATATAGCTCAAGTAATGGTGAATTGGATTGATCAAATCAAAACATATCACGTTGATGGATTCTTGTCATCAGTTATATTTAAAGTTGTTTAACGAATAAGTGTATACTTCAATTGAATGTAATAAAATAGTAATGAATTTACGTAATTATATGAAATATTTATAATTTGTTGCATAAAATATTCGTCATTTTTTTAATTATCATAAAGGTCAAGACTTTCTAAGCTCTAAAGAAAGTAAATTTAGAATTACATTCGATACATTCAATTGAGAACCTCGAGTTCTCACTTGATTTTAATGAATCATACTACTTGCGTAATTATTTCATATTATTAAAGTTCTCGCCATTTTCAATCACTGTGAGAGTCTCTCAAAAAGGAGGAGAAATAACGTAATTACAATATCAAGGTTCTATAGTAATTGAATTGTTTATATGAAAATCAGTGTTAAAAAATATTTTCCAAATACCGTACATTTAAGTAAAAACCAATTACACGAGTCGTGATTGCAGTATAGTTAATCTTCGTTGCACATTCACTTCAAACATCTATTAGGAATTGGAGAAACTTGCAACGAGCATTCAGGATTAGTACTAGCGAAAGAGAAATGGGTTGCAACGAGGCAAAAAAACATCATTTTCATTTCCACTTCGATGTTTCAATCTTAATTCCTCGGAAGCCATTCGTTCTGGACTCTTCATTTCAGTTTCGATTTTCTTTTCAATTGCCTTCGACAATTGCATCTCATTGTTTGAAGTACATTAGGATAGAGTGGAAATAATTTAACTGATTTAAATTTCCAAATACATCCTGGATTACGATTTGTAATACGAAATAAGAAAAACATGTAATCATAGCATAAACTAAATTGTAAATTGTAATTTGAGTTTGTCCTCAATATTTGACGCATTTTATCATGATTCTTTTGTTGTTTATTGTTGAAAGTAATTAGGTTTTCGATTTGAAAATAGAAAAGAAACAAGAAATGTATAACTTTGTGTCGATTGAATTGTAGAGGAAATGAATGGGAAATGGCTGGGACATTGGATACGAGCCATTTGGAAATGAGTGCTTGTTTCGGTCGTTAAAACCGAGCCGAGTAGTATCATATTCGAAATCGGTTGATGATTATTTTAAGTGCGCCACGTGTTAATTGGACGACCGAATGGACGCAAAAATTGTTTATGCGACGTCCGCCAAAAAAAAAAGAAATACGAAAATAAACCTCAGGAAGGAGGACACAGCACTTCTCACTGAAACATCTTTATAAGTTTGAAGTCACGCGATATTTATACTTTAAAACATACATTTTTGTTTCATTAAACTGGAATTACATATATATTTGAATAAGATCTTGAGTCTAATACCCACATTTTATACCGCATTAAAATTGGGTGCGTATTATACTCGAGTACAAAAATAACAGCTGTAATGATTACAAGTTAAGTTATAATTTGTTTTAATATAAAGTTATGTTAATTGAACATTCATAAGTGCAGATTTGAATTTTACCAAAAACGTCTTCTTTTGAGTACTTTTGTACTGACATTGTAACTCTGTCATTCAAAAAAAAGGTATACCAGAATTTTGCAGCTATAAATATAGTTAAAATTGTCGCCCTTTAATAAAATCTTTAATTGTAATTTTATTGTTTGACAAAGTAAATTTATTATAGACGTGACCTTGAAACTTCAATTTTGTGATATAGTTTGTGTTCTTCGTCCATATGAATTGTAATAGTTGATGCGTGAAGAAGCGCAAGCCAAAATGTTTGCACAAAAATTAAAGTTCATACCTTTCTCTGTAATTAGCATTTTTCGCTTTCTAAATATCACAACGCGTTCCACAGCTAAGGTGTTACTGGTTTAGGAAGATTAAAGAAACAACGTATTCAGATTACTTGTTGGCCCTTGTAAGGGTATGAAATTATGGATTAGTATAGATTATCAATTTTGATGGTGCATGCATAACAGAGCTGTAGAAATATAAAATATGTGTGTTTGTCCGAGCAGAGGTGAAACCAGGAGGATGGACGGCCGAGGTGCACTTCCCGTGCTTGTGCAATGCCGCTCGATTTGAACTTTCCACTTCTCGCTGTTCACATTCCCTATTGTTTATCAGGTGTGTAGACGCGAAACGGTATGATATACAAGTGGCTTTTAGAAACAATTAAATGTAAATTAGTTGTAGCCGCAATGAGATAAAAACAAGTGGTATTTATCTGAAGAGAAAGAGAGGGATAGAGAATATTTGTGCAAATACCATGATCCATGTGAAAGGATCTCTATTTGCTATTTTAAGTGTGCTGCAGTTACCAAATGCGATGCGACGTCGGAGGAGAGACAAGAAGTAAGAGAGGAATAAGAAGACAACGTCGACGACGGCTTTGAAACGGAGTGAAGTCGCGGAAAGGAAGAGAAGTAGATAGATATGTACATAATCCGAAACGGGGGAATGAGAATATCGGAGTCACGGTGTTGCGAAACACGCATACTTACAGATACACATATTCGCAGACAGCTCGGAACATACGTGCGCGGATTGGATTTACTTTATTTCTGGGGTGCCCTCGCGCCCACACCATGCGAACGGCATCTTCAATGCTTCCAGTTGGCGAATTCGGGTCCCGAGCTATTTCCAGTAGCCTACATGCAGAAGTTTTTCTCAAGGTTAAGCTACAGTCTGAGAGAGAAATAAAAAGACGTCGTGTATCCTTCTTACGGGTGGTGCTCAGTGCAAAGCCCTGGAGTGATGTTCCTAATGCGCCGAAAAACTGGGCGCCGGTCGCGAATCTTACGGAACCCGGCATACCAAGGTTCCAGCCGGCGGAAAACGTTCACTGCCTTCTTTCCACACGCCGCGGCTTTAGTAATCGTCAACGTAACGATGCGCCGCGACGTCACGTGAGCGGGGCGTCACGACGCCCGATCGCGGCGTCAGCATCAGCAGCATTCGAGCCATCGTACAGATTTAGATCTCTTGTCTCAGACCTCTTGAGCAGAATAGTCGGCAGTCTGCGGTGCCCGTGTACGCATTTCCAGTCGCTGAACTTTTGAGAGGTTCATCATCATCATCCACCACTCGAAGAACCGCCGCGTGAAGTCTAGGCCATCCTTAAATGTTATCACTTAACCAGCTGCAGCGGTGGAACAGCCTCGGTTAAGCTATATCAAAAGTCTATGTACAATAATAAACCTATGTTGATGGGAAGTAATTTTAATACTACAACAAGGTTACAAAATAGGTATCTTCATTATATTTGATGAATCATGAAAATATGAACTTTAGATCAATATTTTAAATTTATATTTAGTTAGATCATTATTTGTAAATTTAAGTATAGAAGTCACTCTTAAGTGACCATTTAAGGTCAGCATTTAATACAGTTCGATCAAATGGTTAAAAAAATAAAAATCTATGCATTATTTAGTAATTTTATTTTATTATCCTACTGATATATATACACATCCATCTACAAATGATACAATGAAACAAATTATACCATGAACACAAATTAATATTGATATTTAGATATTTATAAACTATTAATACTAAATTCAGTATGTATACAACTTATGGATTTCTTGTTCAATGCATTAACAATTTGAGTCCTCCATGACTGTATTTACTGATTACTATTTAATGCGTTCTAATAAATACATATATTCATTAAACATTATATCAAACATCAATAGGCTTGAAGCACTTATATACTTGTACATATATTGCACTAACAGACAGTTATATATAAATTAATATGTTACATTTAATAAAGGTTACACCGAGAACAACACATCGATAGGCTTATGCCCTTAGCGAATAACTATATCGAAAGAAGAGCAAATAGATATTGGGTGCAATGGAAAACGATGATGCACCAATAACGAGACGGCGTGGGAACTATTACAGCGCCGGAAACAAACGCAACCATTATTTGATTATTACGCAAAAAAAAAACGATACAAAACAAAACATCAACAACGAAACAAATAAAAAAGAAATAAACGTATACGGTGACTCCGGTAATTGGACCAATTACATCCATGGACGATGGTCGGCGGCAAAAAAAAATAGAGGAAAAAATAACACACAGAAAATTACGTGCACATATAAATGTTACGAATAATAATGATGCGACGTTTATGGCGATCCGTTAATGATTCGAATTAACGTAGTTCCGTTACGTAAGGTCCGCGCGCGGCGGATGGCGATGGGATGCACCCACATTTGGGATGTAGGATGATCCGAACCGTTTCACAATCACTTTCGCTTTCTGTGTGTCATCAAAGACAAAACAAAATACATCAAACTAGAATGAAATGCGCGATTTGGTAACTCTTCTTCCTCTCTAGCCTCCTTATGAAATGAATCACACATATTTTTCCAGTTATTTTTTTAAATTAATTACATTCACACGTTCTGTGGCATACGATGTATGTGGATTTATAGGTCATATGTTATAAATTAATAATTACAATACTTACATTACGTACATATATATAAATATATCTTGGAATGATGTTTAATGTTTTGTTTCTTTAACGGGAGCTGTGGGTAGCTTTTTTATAAGTTGTAATCTCGGTCGGGTAGAATTTGAAGGAGTTGAGTGAGCGCTGCGCCTAGTTGCAGTTGCAGTTGCTGTAGTTGTAGCAAGGGCCGCGCGAATTTGCGCAGCTTGTTGGAGACGCGCGTGGCGTTTTTCGAGGTTCCGCAAAATATTTTGAGTGTGTAACGTGTGTTGGGTGTGGGTCTGTCAGGAATTGAAATCTTGATCGGGTAGTATTGGTAAGATGTAGGTGGACGCTGCGTCTATTGGAAGTGGTACCTGGAATGGTTGAGCGGTTTTGCGCGGCTTGTAAGAATCGTATACGCCGAAGTTTTGAGATTCCTTCACTATTGTATGTGTGAATTGGGGAATTGCAGTGGGTTGCTCAGCAGTTGTAGTCTTTGTCGGGTAGATTCGAATAGTTGCAGATGGGCGCTGAGCCCGTTGATAGAGGACGCGACTAGGGTCCGGAGGAAGTTCGCGACCTGCTGGAATAGGAGATATAGTTGTATCCGCTGTATATTGATATGGTATAGTTATGGGAATAGAAGGTTTTATAAGTTGTAGCCTTGGTCGAGTAGTTTCGGTAATACGTAGCTGATTGTTGCGTCCGATGGTAGCTGTACTGGTGATAGTAGCGCGCGTTTGCGCGGGTTGTATGGTCCGAGGTTGTCGCTGTATGGAAGTCCGTTGAATATTGTGCAAGGGTAATGGGGGTTGGAGCGTTTGTCAGAAAGTGTAGTCTTGATCGGGTGGAGTCGGGAAGGTGTAGGTTGGTCCAGCATCGGTTGGTAAAGGTACAGGCAAGGGGCGCGCGGGTTTACGCGGCCTGTAGGATCCGCGCGTGCCATTGTTCGGGGGTCCGCTAGGCTTTAGTCGGGGTCTGCCGGGACCGCGGCGGGTCGTTGCGTTCCGGGTATATCCCGATGAGGCCGTTGAACTTCCGGCTTTCGGGGTGGCGACCGGCGATTCATAGGGTACGTAAGGCGCCGTCGAAGGGCCCGGCTCGCTGGGATCTGAAACATCGACTACTAGGGTGGGTAAAGGAATTAAATTGGAACATGTCTCGTACCATTCGAGGAGGAGGTTGTGCATTGCGCTGGATTGACAACAGTCGTGAAACGGCCAAGGGCAGAGACGCGGCGCGAACCGCGCGGCCGCCCCCGCTTCGTCGACCCCCTCGCCGGATTGCGAACCTTAATCCCCTGCGGATAAGCGTTGAATATTTCTGTAATGTGAGAAGGGAAAAAAATTGGGCATTAACGACTAAAGCCTGTGATGCATGCAAATTACTGTTACTCGTGTCCCAGGTATCGATGTCCAGGACGCTCGCATCGGTAAGATCATCGGATGTGGTTTGAACGTCAGCCGAATTTTCGCTGTGTGGTGGGCTGCTCAGGACACTGTCGGCGCATATCCATTGTTCCTCGTTGCCGCTTTCCTGAGTCGGCTCCGTCTTGGTCTTCTTCGATTCCACGACTACGGTGGTGGTGGCAACCTGTGCATTCTAATGTTACTTATTTAATATGCATAGAACGACAATCGGCTACAACTATAAATACCTTGAAGGTGGCCGCATATTTTCGCTTCCGATCCAGTTCCCGCATGTCTTCTATGTGTTTCCTCTCCTCAGCCCGCTGACGATCTGCAAGCACACAAAAAGAAAAAATAGAGCAAAAATAATTTTCAGAGACAACCCCCCATGGTTCACTTACACTTCAGCTCGATTTCCTCGTCGTCGAGCAACAGAGACACTACTTCCTTGGGTTTCAGCGTTTCCGGTTTAAAGTTTCCTCCGCTTATAACCAGATTCTGGATCTGAAACAAACAAACGCAACGTTCAAAACCCTCCCTGCTATTGTCATAAATATCAACACTTACCTCGCTCTTTTCGCGGGCTCTTTGCAGTATCCGCTCTTCGATCGAACCCTTACAGATCAACCGATAAACGGTCACTTGTTTCGTCTGCCCTAACCTATGAGCCCTGTCCATAGCCTGCTGATCAACTGTTGGATTCCAATCACTGTCGTAGAAAATAACCTAAAAAGAATTATTCATCCTCATTATATAGACAGTATAAATCACCTATTTTGTACAGAACATATAATAGCTCTAATTTAATGAAATGAAATAAATTAATTCCAATTTAAAAAAAATATATTTTTACTTAATTTTTAAAATTAAATAAGTAAAATTACTTCAATAAATATTAAAGAACCAATTATTATATTTGATTTAATTAAACGGTTTAAAATTCAAAATAAAAAAATGTGATTTTATATAGGGATTAAAAATCTTAAGTTGGTTGGTTAATGCAGTATGGTAGATTTGGAGTAATAGTAATTTAAAGCAAGTTTGTTTGTGCCATAAGATTTGCGTCGGATTGCGAGGGGTTCAATGATCTGAGTCTATATAGGAGAGCTTCAAGTGTCCTGCCAAGCGGAATTTAAGGAGTAATTAGTTATTGGGTTAGGCCTGTTCCGTTGATGTCGATATATTTGCAAAGTGCAGGGTGGCAAGGCATTACGCGCTATCTTGGCACAGTCGAATTGCTCCTTCCGGTTCATCAAACTGGAATAGATAATCCTGACGGCGTCTCTTAATCGCGTAAAATGGGATTGTGAGAAAGAATGGGTGTAGGGAGGAAGCGGAGGGAAAGCAATTTGGGCCCGGGATTTGGAAGAGATTCTGCGATTTTATTTATCCTCTTTGTTGCCTCCTTTTACATCTTCCTCCCATTCCATGGGCCCCGGGGTTCGGGGTAGCAATCCGTTCGTTCTCGCTCGGTCCGCCGCATTTTTGCGTTCCGCCTCCATTCTTTTCTTTATTTCGGGTGGCGGATTAAAAAGGGAAGAACAAAGTAAATTAATTTGTGCGCGCATTCCCGCCGCCCGGAATCCTGGCGATCCCTTTTTACACAAACGCCGTCCCAGCATTCTGAACTTATTGTTCATTTGCCAAAAAATGTCGCGACAAATTATTTGATCCGGGGTCCGCAGGTAGACCGGGCAAATAACGAAACGAAAACAACAAACGAAAGACATACACGCAGAAGCAAGAATAATTCGTAGGTGTTGTTGTTGTTTTTCGATTTATCTATGAAGGACCGGTGGAGGGTTTCGTTGTCGTGGGTGGCGTATAAGGGTGTTTCGTTACCGGCACCGCAGCCGCGAGCATCTAGATAGCGCGCGCTAGTTACGTAATAAACGCGTAATTACGAGGGAAAACACGAGCTGAAAAATGCACGTGTCCAAGTATCCTGTAACAGATGCATTCGAGCAACCACTTAGTGCCGAGATTCAACTCGAATAATGAACCGGATATAATGAGTAGTTCCGAAGCCACTTCCTGCCCGCGTTCCGGAGCACGTGTTGTCGAGGATCGTGTATCTATTATACCGGCTAATCCACCCCCGACGAACAATCGCCTGAAAAGCGTTTCAGGGCTACTTTTCTCTCTCTCTTCCTCTTGCGTTCGTTCTTTCTTTCCTTTTTTTTTGGCGTATTGTTTTCATTTTTTCCATTCTTGAATGGCGCAGGGGAACGGAAGAAAGGAGGGACATCGATGGCATTTAAGCGAAATCACGGCGCGGCCAATGGTAACATCGAAAAATGCATATTTCCGAGGGTCATATATTCCGGCGCAGGATGGAGGGTACCAACAGACATTCGGGTACTGGTCATCAGGAATGCGTAGAATTCGCTGAGAACTGGCCGCTTCGATTCTCCCAGAGTGTTTTTAGGCATACGTGGACAGCGGGCCCGTTAACATTAGGCACATGTTTTAAATATTACACGTCATTTGCCTTTATTCCCAAACACTATCTGTTGTTTTCTTCGTCTCCGTCTTCTTCATTTCGGTTTCTTCTTTTCATTCGCTTATTTATTTCTGATTCCTTTCTTTCCGCCGCATCATCCAAGATGAGACCCCTTCCTTTCCAATCGCATAACAGGCCGACTTGCGTAACGTCATTTGCATATTCGGTTGATCCACCGTTTACCATTTACTCATTGCACAAACACGCGTTCTACACATTATTGTCATAATATTCAAGACGTCCACTTATACATACACTATTTTTTTTATTATTTCGGGAAGGACACGGACCACACAAGGTCATACGTTTTGTATGTGACTGAAAAGTTTAATCACAAAACGATCGCGTTTCAATTTTCCCATAGCCCCGACTCCGTGCATGTGTAATACATATATTATACAGAAGGAATTAAGTACGGCTATATAGTTGGATAATACAAGAAAAAAAAACGAAAGTCGTAGATCACTTTTACTCGCTTCAAGCTCCAAGCACTAGATAATATAGAAATATATCAACATATCATCCAATATTGCCAATAAGACTATTTGTATTATATAAATAAAAACTAAATAACTAATATTTTTAAAAAAAGCTTATTACAACACTAGACCAAATTCATATAAAAATATCAGAACATTTCATATACTTACTAGCAATTTTCGATGTTTATAAAGGATGTCCCATAATTAACGCAAAATTTGAATTAAATAGAAAACACAGTTTTTAGTGATTGTGATAAAAACTGTGTTTTCTATTTAATTCGAATCTTGCGTAAATTTTGGGACACCCTTTATAATTAAACGTACATTAGACGTTTAATGAAAAAAATAATAATTTCTTATAATTATCCAAATTATATCGATAGTAGTCATTATCAAAGTAGATGTAATATGTTTAATAGTTAATAACTTTAATTATAGAATCTGTAACTTTGATTAAATCGAATTTTAAATATTCCGTCCAAAAATATGTCTATATATAATCATATCTAATAAATTAAAACATAATTAGTATGATTTAAATAAAAAAGTACATTTTCTGTACTTTGTTTCATTTTACTTTTTTTTGCATCAATATACAAATTATGTATATTATTTAATATATCAATATTAAAAATATGTTTTCTTGGACTAAATTATGTTTTGTTGTCTTTATAGATTTAATGAAATGCATTTCAAAGATTAATTAAATGTAATAAAATATGAGCTTTAAAATCTATAATACAATAGTACCAAGCTTGGTAATGGTCAATAAATTTACTTCTGTTTGTTCAAGTATATCTTAAAATACATGGAAAAGTGCAGTCAAACGAGAAATTGCATTTATTCTTTCTTTTTTCATAGATTGCAGGTCAGTCATCCGAATTATTCGGAGGTAGACATATTTACTACGTATTTTCAATAGCTGTATGTTTTAACTATTATTACTGATAAATTACTGAAATTACAATATTACATTACTATGCGTGTTAACAGAATGGAATGATGCGTCCACATTATTTCGAATTGACGATTGACCACATTTTGCTGAATTATGTAAATGAATATATACTGAATGTATTTCTATTATTTTTGTATATAATAAATTATATCTATTGATATATAAAGTTGCAAGCTCACGCACTTACCTTTACTAATTAATTCATCGTTAAATTATGTTGAAAATTATTATACTTACAGTATCGGCGGCTGTCAGGTTGATACCCAACCCCCCAGCTCTTGTAGATAAAAGAAAAACGAAGATATCAGTCCTGGCCTGGAAATCGGCGACCATGTCTCGTCTCTCAGAGATCTTCGAGGAGCCATCTAATCGCATGTACTTATGATGCCTGTGCCACATATATTCCTGAAATCAAACAAAAAGCAAAGTTACCACCGACGCCTTAGTGGTTATAATCAGAGAGTTTAATTACTTCAAGCAGATCGATCATCTTCGTCATCTGCGAATAAATCAATACGCGATGGCCTTCCTCCTTGAGTTTCTTCAGAAGTCCGTCCAGTACGAACAGCTTCCCGGAATCTGTAACCAGCGTCTCCTTATCTGAAAAACCAATTTCATCGTTAGTTTCCCTTTGTTTTTTTTTCATATTTCATTTTAAACCAACCGGGAATTGTTATATTCGACCATCCATTCGGAGGTGTGATCACGTCAATCGGGCCAGACGGCACCACGGGATGCAGATACTTGTTCCTTTTGACAAACATCTCTTTGCCCGTTGATTGGCTCCATTTATGATTGAGGGACGTCCATGACCAATCTTCTATGTGCCTCGTGAAATCATACGCCGCCCTCCTGGAGCAGCAATACAGCGACGGATGTCGCGTGGATACCTTGAAATGGAAAATATTACTTGGCCGTTGGTTTTTTGGTGCAGGTCGCCGTCGTCGGTGTCCTTTCTGAAATTCACCTTTGGCATGCATGAGAACAAAAATGCGGGCATTGCGATCTGCTGGCATTTGAATTCTTGCGGTTTCCTCTTGATGTGCGGGAATTCGGGCATCGATTTTAATTTTGCTTCGGAATCCTCAGCATCGTCCTCACTGCCACGGCACCTGATATTTCTATGCTCGATGGTCTCTGGGATAGCGTACAACGAATAATCGTCGTATTTATATACTATTTTCGAAGCAGAATTGTTGAAGGTAAAGACAAAATCGCTTAGTGCTGGACTACTCAGTATAGCTGGAGTGGACATTCGCAGGGAGGTCGACAGATCCAAAATATATTTACATTTAGATTTTCGCTTAACCCACATGGATCGGTCATAATCGCGAATGCTCTGCTTGCATACGTCAAAGAAGCACCTCCATAAAGTTAACAAATCCCCCTGGAATACATTATACATGTCCTGAGGGGACATTTGCAAGGACGTGCAAAATCTGAACAAGCTACTAGGATCCTCGATCGCTTTAGCTATGTATTCTTTTGTAAATATGAAGTACTTCTGAATAACGTTCCAGTTTTCTTGTCGGACGTTGTAATCGTAGATTAAATGCGGAACCTGGTATGTTTGAGGCACGTAGAATATCGAGGACTTCGCATCTCGCCGCTCGAAGAGCTCAGGATGGTTACACACTTTTCTGAACTGCATGACTAGGTTCATCAAATTCGAAGTAAAATTTTTGTCAACGCTATGAGAATCACCACCGCCTACTGTATAATGTAAAAGATCTTCTATATGTATTTTCTGTTTAAGAGCTATGTATAGTAAGCGTTGTCTGGTGGTTAATGGGCAATAAACCATAATTTCTATCTTGTCTGACAGCTCGTTCTCCACATCCTTCTTAATTCGTCGAAGCATGAAAGGCTTCAAGATCATATGCAGTCGCGATAGATGCTCTGAAGATCATTCATTACGGAAAATGTTTGACTATGATTATATTTACTTACTTTCATCGATGCCGGTTTTGTTCTCCGCATGACTCTCGATATCTTTCGAAAACCACTCATTGAACTCCTCATGTGAATCGAAGAGTGTGGGCATTATGAAATGGAGCAAAGCCCATAGTTCAGCCATACTATTTTGTATAGGTGTTCCGCTGAGTAAAAGTCGGTTGCGACAGTTGAAACCTAATAATGTTTTCCAACGCATACTGTAAATATTTACAAGCGGAATTTAAACACCATACATACAATCTACAAATTTAATTTTAGTTATTAATTGCTCAAAATTATTAATTGCTCAGTCATCTAACGTCCAATTCGAATTCAATAATGATATAACAAGAAAAATAATCGCTTTAAGTAATATATAATGTCATCCCTTCGTGTATTTTAGTGCATTTTTTTGCACAATGTTCATTACCTGCTTGTACTTTTAATTGCTTGAGCTTCATCCAATACCATGTACTGCCACTTAAAGCGGTTGAAATATTTAACATCGGAGATAACAATTTGGTAGCTGGTGATCACGACATGGAATCCAGCATCCTTAGTATGCATACCGTCTTGGTGCCAAAACTGTCTCAAAATTTTCCGATCCTAAGAACAAGAACTTATAATGTATTCCACGAGGCTATTGCATTCTACCATACCGCAATATTTCCCCAGTATGGAACAACTTTGAAGTCTGGAACAAACTTAGCAAATTCTTGTTGCCAATTATGCAACGTCGAAGCCGGACATATCACCAGAAATGGTCCCCATAAATCTAAACAATACACGTTAAGAAATAAAATCATGTCATCTAGAGATATATCTATATTCCTACCTTGTACTTCCGCCAAGTGGCTCAGAAATGCAATGCTTTGTACAGTCTTTCCCAGACCCATTTCGTCTGCTAAAATTCCGCTAATACCTTGATCATACAAGTTCGCCAACCAGTTCATGCCCCGAAGCTGGTAGGCCTTCAATGTTCCCATAAATATTGATGGCTGGCTAAACTCCCCGTCTACAGTATCATAAACCTTAGATTCATCACAGTCCCGATGTATGTTTGCTTCTAGATCAAATTGTTTTGTCCTAGCTTTCTCATGGCGAATTGCTTCTTGGGCATTTTTGATAGCTTTTGCTTTCATAACATCACTGAAATAATTAAATGATGAGTTTAAAAACAATAATTAACATAACAGCACATTTATGAGTTACGAATTTTTATACCTGTTGTAATCATCGATACTTGCAAGTCGTGGATTTTTCTCTTCTTCTAGCTGACTTAAAATCCTGAATTCAACATCGGATTCGGCTGCGATCTTCTTAGACATAAAATGAGCGTAAAGCTCTGTCTGGGTGATCAAGAAGTTCAACTTCCTCTGCTGCCGTTTTGCTTCGACTAATTCAAAGTCAATTTTTCGTTGTTCTTCAGCTTCCTTTTCCAGTTTCCGTCGTATCTCGCGGTCGACACGTTTAGAACGCTTCCAATACGCCAAATTCTCTCTCGATAATCGCTTCATACGCCACTGCAACTCTTTGACGGTGCGAGCAGATTGTAGCTAATAAGAATAACATATTGGATTGTAAATATTGAATAATACTGTTGAGTAACACACTTACAGCTTTATTACGTAGCACTTTCTGACAAGCCATCGCCAGTTTCTTGTTCTGCAGAAGTGCCTCTTTATGTCTGTTAACTTTTGCTCTCTGTTGCTTTCCAACCTCCTTCTTAATCATATTGGAATATGACTTCTTCCTTTTCATCATCATCATGTCCTCCCATTTTCGCTTGGACTCTTCATCTTTGAACTTCTTTGTCCTTCCTTTCCTGGTTATGGTACATGGCTTAGCGGGTGGTTCCATTTTTAGTGGACTCTCATCTAAGATACCTTGTACATCAAAGTTATCCAAGTACAGATCAACATCACCTTCCTAAAATTTCCAAGGGTTAGAATTATTATTATTAACAATTATTTTACAGAACAAATCAGAGAATACTCATATACTCAATATGGCATACCTGTATCTCATGAAACATATCTGGTAATAAACTGCTTGGTTTCATTGGAGATTCATCCCTCTTTCTCTTAGTGGGCTTGGGTTGTGTGAGCTTTTTATTCTCATGGTACTTATCAAAATTTGATATCAGCCCTGCACCATAATACATATGTTGGTCTAGTACTTCAGGACTAGTATTTGTTGCAATCTTTTTCTTTTGTTTATGAAGTTTTAACAGTTTGTTTATATCTTCAGCTATTGTTGTATTGCTTTCCATTTCTTCTTCAGGATTAGACATTTCTTGCATTAGTTCGACTAACCAAGCTCTTTCCATATCCATAATATCTGAATTAACATAAGGATTTTCACCAGCATCATCATCTGTGGACAAATATATATTCAGTTATAGTATATAAACACAATCACTGTAATACTAATTACCTTTAAGAACATCATCCCAATTGGAGTCAGGGCCAAAGATTTCATCCTCTGGATCACTAGCAGTAATATTTGGATTAAAATTCCTCATGAACACATTTAAGTCTAAAGCTCGCTCTAGTCTCTGTACATGTACGGGCTTAGCGACCCCAGAGGTGGATGGTTTATCCATGTTTATTAGTTTAAAAACTATAAACAATTCTTATGATATAACCTCAAAATAGAGATAGAAATTCGCTTGTAAATTCTGTTTGCAGACATGTACGTTCTTAAAATAATCACTTATGAAAAACGTCGATATAAGAAGTTTATTCAATTGGTTGCGAACAACCGTCTTATAAAACTTTAATTTGTTTTCACATTGCTAATTACCGGAGAAATTCCAAGCAGATCAAATATAATAATATGCAGTACTGTTTTCAAAAACTGTCTGATACAAGCATCGCCCACACTTCCCCAGATGGCAGCACTATGCAGTTTTGAATAACCGATCAATAAATGGAAATAAGTTATTAATGATTGCAGATAACAGAAATAAAACGTCCTTCGATGTGTTTATTGAAGATAAATCATTTATTAGGTATTAAGAGATATAGATAATCATTGTAACAATTATAAGCATATTATGTAGATTTCTTATTAGTATTGTAAATAAATTATTACATTGGTGATTGATATAAATTATATTATATACATTTATTAATTAAGAAAAATTGATTTAAGCCTCTCGGTTTTAAACGAATGATAATATTGGTTGTCAGTCGTCTATATGAACCATATGGCCATGAACGGTAGCGGACTGGTGGTACCTTCTTCGCGAAGCGAAGTCTTCGTTATCCTCATTCAATTGTGCTGATGTAACATCAATGTTACGATGAATCGGAGTAACGACAATTTGTTCGTATTCATGGACGCGCCTTCTGTAAATGATTATGTAAATATAAAAGCTTGTTTATCTGCAAATTGAGATGAGACTTACCCGCAACATCTAAGAATAACAGTTTTAAGCCACTTAAAGAAATGGAATTCAGCGGCGAGACCCGGCTTCACAGCCGGATTGGCAGTGCCTATGTATAACCACACCAAGAATACAGCCAGAATGCTAATCAAAGCATAACCCCAATTGACCAGGAACATAATGAAGATTTTCAAGGCGGCCTGTAAAAGATGCATGAATTATAGAGCGATTCAATACTTTATACTACGAGTTCTTACGCCGAACAGCGAAAACCATCTATTGCACAGACTGGAATACCAATTCTTCGGTTTGGAATGAATGTGGGCTTTCGGTACAATCGGGGTGGCTTCATCTTTATCGTCCGGTGTACTCGGAGTTCCAGAACTCGAATCAGCCTGTGAATAAATCAATGTAGTATAATAGCTATTGTAATTGATATTATTGGTATTTATTACCCTCAGGGTCTTGTGACGGGTGCGTTCCGGGAACAAGTTGTCCAGATCGTCCGATGGAGTAGTACCTCCATTCAATGATTGCGACTGCTTCCTCGGTATAAATCTTTCCTCCCTTTGGTGTTGCAAATCGAATGTTTGCGCCAGTGTAAAGTACGAGTAGTCTATGCAAGCGTATGTTAGTAAATAAGGCATTGTTACTATTGGAGCCAACGTGTTGATCTCTCCTACTAATATAAAAGTTAAAGTCACAACGGCAACAACAGCCATCGCATATAAAGGCACTTTATTTGGACCACGCTGCAGAAAAAGATTTAATTGATTTAATTTAGGATTCGATTAGTAGATGTTGAGAATACATACACCCATTCCTAGTATTCCAATTCCAGGAATGACGTTTTCGAGTGAGATCGACTGCAATACTCTGGGTGTACCATACATGGCACCCAAGCAGCTAGACATAGAAGACACATATAAGCCAGCCAAGAGTAAAACATTGACGGCAGAGACGGTAGCTGCTATCGTGAAGTCCGTCATCAGGTAACTCCTGCTACAGGTTGCGCCCAAAAATAGCACAAATACTAAGTATAAAAAGGTGCCTGTGGTTATAGCGGAAAGTGTTCCATTCGGTATATTAATCGAAGGTGCTCTCAAATCACCGCTCATGTTAAGCCCAGCCAAGATACCAGTTATAGTGGGGAAAAACACACCGAAAACTGTGAACCAGCTGTAACCCTCTTTGTAGTCAGACCACAAATTCTCCCCAAAGTTGCCCATCAACCACCCGTTAAAACCGTTCTCTAAAATCGAACTAAGGTAATGACAAATGAAACTTACATTATGATCCAATCAATTTTTCACCTGGTTCTGCATGTGTAAAGCTGCCAACCATAAAATCCAATCCAGACAACAGCAATATTAAAAGTAAAATGAATTGCAATTTTATCACCCATTTCACACCGGCTACATTAATCACACTTAGTAGCAATACTGCAGCGCCGGCAATGGCTCTGACTGCCCATTTAGAATCACCAACACCTAATAATTCTGCAATTGACTCACCAAAACCTAATACATTTAAAGCACAACCAACAGCCTAAAAGAATTTGTTAATTATAAATTATTCTTTATTACGATTACCTTATGATTGCCATACCTGACCAAAACAATATAGAAGACCAAGAGAGCCTCCAAACCTGGATCCAAGTACATGTGCAACTAAGAAATAAACACCTCCACTTTCCATACGGCATCTCTCACAGATTCCAACAGCTGAGAGCACTGATATGAGAGCAACAAACACTGTAAATGAATCTAATTAGAACAGTTCCAATTGGATATTTGCTAATAAATACCTGTAAATAAAACAATTAGTACAGCACTTATAATTCCTGCCTGTGCTACAATCCAGCCAGACCGCAAGAATACAATGACACCAAATATGTTGATCAAACATGATGTGAATACACCATCCCAGGTGCCAAACAGAACTGGTTGTGATATGAAGAAGTTTGACTTCCACCAAGGCACATCACCCTATGATTATTATAAACACAATTACAGACATTACAGAAGCTAATATTGATACAGCACCTGCTCTTCAGCAAACAACTCATTAGCTCCAGATGCTTGATGTCCTCCAGCGCCATATGCATACTCATTGCCTAAGTCAACAAAGCCCCCTGTATTCCCTCGAGATCTGGTTGCATTCTCATTGCCTAAACCATACCTGGACCAGTCTACATTCTTATTATTTGTATTGTTTTCCATGATAATTCTACAATGAACTCCATGAAACAACAAGCGCGTATTTGATGATTACTTACCAATTGAAGTGCAAAAATTCATTAATTGTATAGGTATATATTATATATATATATTTATCACAAAAGATAAGAGATTTTTATTTTCGGATTCATTATAAGATTTTTATCTCTGAAACCCTGAGTATCACATATTATCTTACATATTTAAATAGGAAATAATCTGAATATGTGTCAGCTGTCAGAGAGATGACATCATTCATTTGCATAAATAAAGTAAAACACAGCCTATCCATCCCACTATTCTTCTTTTTCGGCTGGTCCTTGTCCACCATGACACCATTAGCACGTCATAGATATATTATTCTAGACTCTCATAGATGTCACATAAATCATTCACAATGATAAATCCCATAGATACATTCCCATAAAGTGCAATTTGCATACAATTTTACCTAACTAATTTCAATTGCAATTTAGATGAAATTGATATAAAAAAACGATGTAAAAACAAAAACAGCAATGTTGAATATTTATTGAATTACAGATGTCCCTACTAGTTTATTCACAACTTTCCTAAATAAAATATAATTTAAATTTTAAAATAACTATCAAATATTATGCAGTAATCTCGTTAATTATATTGTCTTAAACATATAATTACTAACAGTTATGCATCTACTTGATTGAATTGTTTGTTAGTGCCATCTGTTGGTCTCAATTTGATATTGGAAATAAAATCAAACTTAAATTTCATTATATTATCATTTATTCTTATTTAATTTTTACAGCATTTGATGGTAATTCAAATCAATTAACAGATATGTATAATGATGTAAAAGTAATGAAATTAAAAAAAATGATTTCACCTGTTTCAGGTAACAGGTAGATTCAGGTAGATTGCTTCTTCAATTACCATGCCAACCATCAAACGTAAACAAACCGTTTCTTAGAGCTCGAAAAATGTTCATATATTTAAGCAAAAAGGTAAATAAATAATAATTTATCCATAATTATGTGAATTAAAACAGCAACAAATATTTTAGATTGCCATACCAAACAATACAAAACTGCATTGCATTGCATGGAATGCTGAAGATGGATATATAGCTGTTGGTGGTGAGGATGGCTTACTGAAAGTCCTCAAATTGGATTCAGGTATTATAATTCATTAAAAAGTTGTAACATTAGTTTTATAATTTAATTTAAAAAATTAAGTAATAAGCTTGAGTTTTTAATTATCAATTAAAGGTAATGAAGCTGGTGCAGGACCAAATTTAAGAGGTCTTGCAGCCTCCAGTAATTTATCCATGAATCAAACACTTGAGGGTCACACAGAGAATATCAAAGTGATCACTTGGAATGAGACCCATAAGAAGCTCACAACCAGCGATCAAAACGGCGTTATTATTGTATGGATGTTATACAAAGGGGCTTGGTATGAGGAGATGATAAATAACAGGAAAAAGTCTACTGTTGTTGGAATGTGTTGGAGTTATGATGGATTAAAGATCTGTATTATATATGAAGATGGGGCTGTGATTGTTGGATCTGTGGATGGAAATAGAATTTGGGGAAAGGAACTAAAAGGCGTCCACTTATCCAGTGTGCAATGGTCTCCAGATGGAAAGCTCCTACTTTTCAGCTTGCACAATGGTCAAGTTCATTTGTATGACAATCAAGGAAACTTTGTTGTAAATTATTTGTTACTTAAAAACTATGTATATAGTTTGATTATAAACTTGCTTTAGATGCGTTTGGAAGTCCAATGTTTAGAGTCTACAGATATTGTTGCCGTTGTTGGTTTGGATTGGTATAATGGGAAGCATGGTTATATCCATGCCTTGTGCCCTTGCCTAGCAATTTGCTATGAAAATGGACGGATGCAACTCATGTATAATGAAAGCGACCCAAGTGCGTATACTTATTTATACTGAGCGACTTATTTACAAATACGCGACAATCATTGTAGGTCCGGTCATATTGGATACAGGTATGAATGCGGTGTATTGTAGCTGGAACCACAATGGAACACTAATTGCTGTAACCGGTCGACAAATTGAAGCGGATAAAGAGAGTAATGTTGTACAGTTTTACAGTCCTTATGGTGATGTACGTATATTAAACATAAGTTAAAGTTTTTCTTAAATTTAATTAAAAAATAGCATTTGCGTACTTTGAAAGTACCGGGACATTCAATATCCTGCTGCGTCTGGGAAGGAGGTTCTCTACGAGTGGCCTTAGCCGTGGATTCATTCGTATACTTCGCCAATATTCGTCCAAATTATAAATGGTGTTACTTCAAGAAAACTGTGGTTTATACATCATGTAGACCACAAAAGCCAGGAGTCTGTATAACATTTTGGGACATAACAAATAATCAAGTAATTTCAGTCCACAGTTGAAGTATTTACGGTATTTATATTTGGGTATTTAGTGTCATTCAAGGTATGTTCCTGTGCTGATAGGAATCGCTGCTTTTGGCGATCATTGCGTTTTAGTTACAAAATCCGATACGGATAATGAATTAAAAGAGCAACAATACGGTTTACTACTTTGCAACACCTTGGGAACTCCAGTTGATGGAAAATACATAGATATTGAACCTCAGTTTGTTGCCATCAATTCCACTCATGTATTCGCAGCGTCAAAAAATAATTTCTTGGTGTGGCAGTATAAAACACCGAAGTCTTACAGTTTATTAAGTAATTAATTTAACTTCCCTTCAAATGCTTTGTTTAATAAATTGAATTTAAGCTCATCGTATGAAATGTCGATTGTATCATATTGATGACAACCCTTCGGGCGCTGTGGAAGTTATCCAAGATTTGGAACAAAATGTAGAATTGCCGGTGAGCTTGCAGCCTTCCAACGATCCAATATGTTGCATTGCTGCTTCGGATAGGGCTCTGGTCATAGGTAGAGAATCTGGAAATTTGCAACACTACGCGTTACCTCATTGCGCGCTATGCAATCGCTACAAAATTGGTTCTCGTCCACACAAAATGGCAATAAACTGCAACTCGACGTGAGTTTAAACTAAATTATTATTCGCCTATGATATAATCAAATTTTCAGGCGTATTTCAATCATAGATGTGTCAGGTATAATGACGGTGCTCGATTTAACGGAGAATATAACAAGAAGTAATCCAGATTTGAATAAGATGGAGAGAAAAGACGTTTGGGCCATGTGTTGGGCTTCAGATAATCCCCAATCACTGGCGATTATGGAGAAAACTAGAATGTATATTTTCAAAGGTGTTAATCCTGAAGAGCCGATTTCTAGTTCCGGCTACATCTGCAGTTTTCAAGTATTAAATAACTTTAGTCAACGACACTGATACGCTCAATAACGATATACTATAAATTATATACATTTTAGGATTTGGAAATTGAAGCTGTGCTGTTAGATGAAGTTATGGAAAATCCGGAAAAGATGAACAGCGATCATATTTTAAAATTGGAGGTGAAGAGTTTAAGAGATACCAGGCAGTTGTTGGAGAAGGTTGGTATTAATGAGGCGGCTGAATTCATAGAAGATAATCCTCATCCGAGATTGTGGAGATTGTTGGCGGAGGCCGCATTGAAGGAGGTCAACTTGACCGTAGCAGAATCAGCCTTTATAAGGTCTCTGGACTACTGCGGTATATTATTCGTGAAGCGATTGCACGGTATTAATAACGAAACCATTCGAAAAGCTTGCATAGCCACCTACTTTAAGGAGTTCGACAAGGCGGAAAAGTTCTACATCGAATCTGATAGAAGGGACTTAGCATTAATCCTTCGACAGACACTGGGCGACTGGTTTAGGGTGATACAAATCATGAAAAACGGAGTGTCCGCTCCTGATTTAGTACTGAACGTCGCATACAATTCCACTGCTGATTATTTTGCGCACTTCAACAATTGGACAGCGGCGGTCGAGTACTATGAACTAGCGAAGAATCGCCATGAGATGATCGAGTGTTATTACCATCTAGAAGATTACAAGGCATTACAGGAGATGATCGATTCGTTACCGGAGGGAGATTCTTTGCTACAGAATATAGCGGATTTGTTCGCATCAGATGCGGTATACTCTGTAGCCATTAAGGCTCTAATTAAAGTATACAAATTTCAAACGTTATAGGTTTTTATTAATCTATATCAAATTTCAGTTGGGCAACATAAAAGCAGCAGTCGATCTGTGCATTCTGCACAATAAATGGGATCAGGCTATAGAACTTGCTACGAAATACGACCTGCCTCAAATAAACGTTTTATTCAAGAAGTATACTCTACATTTGGTCGAGCAAAATATGCTGACTAATGCAGTTGAGATCAACATGCAGGCGAAACATTTCAGCGACGCCTCAGAGCTGGCCTTAAAAGTTGGATAACTGAAAGTATTGGAAACAAATGATTAATATTTTCCTTGTTTTCAGTTCGCAGTTCAAGAGTCAAAGAGGCCAATGAAAAAACTTATTAGTGTTAAGAAACTGTTCGTATACGCTGCGCTTCTAACGGAATCGAGCGTCTCGACTGATGTGAATCTCGATTTGCAAGACAACATCTGGAAAGGCGCTGAAGCATATCACTATTTGATTCTTGCGCAAGAGAATCTGTATGCTAACAAGTTCAAAGAGGCTATGAACATAGCTTTCAAGCTACAGGAATATACTAACTACATCAATGAAACCGAGGTGTACACTTTACTTGCTTTGATTGCTAGTCAACATGAAGCTTATGGAGTCTGTTCCACAGCTTTCATCAAATTGAAATCTTTACCAGTGAGTTTGCTATATGGAAGCAATTATTTTATTTTAAATTAATCTGTTTTCTTTAGCTGACTGAAGGAGAGTTAGCAGAGTGCCAGCGATTATGTTTCGATATTTTCAGTTTGCATAAGCCTTGTGATGATCATTTGAAGAAGAGAAAGTGTCCACATTGTAATAACGCTCTTTTCGATTGGTAACATAATGCTACATACATTTATCTGTAGTTTCTGTAATATCCATGTTTTAGGAGCACCATTTGTGGAGAATGCAACTCTACATTTACTAATTGCATTGTATCTGGTGAACCTATTTTGAATCGACATCAATCCCAGTGGATTTGCAGGACTTGCCATCACGTCGCATTAGAGAAATACATTAGTTTCAGGAAATTTTGTCCTTTGTGCCATTCGGCAATTTAATTCTTGCACTTGCGTCTTTAAATTATAGATCTACAATATAGAAATGCTTCAAGGACCAATATAATGATTATACAACAAATTTACTGCATTACAAGTTTAGTGGACTTGATTTAGCTAATAATTTAGCTAAATTTATTTTATTCTCATAATTGTAATTATAGTTGTGATCCTAATAAATGTAGAGATATTTATTAGTAGATATTTGAATATATTTGTGGTTGATAGTTATTAATTAATGCATGCTCATTTATGCGCTGTTATCATAACAGGAACTATTATAACAGTGTTATATATTTAATGGTACGCAAATACAGGTAAGCCGATTATGTAAAAAAAGTGCAAGTAACGATTTCTGCTGGCTGAGTCCATTGTAAATAGATGGCGTAACCATAGAATGTCACAGTATTTACGTATTTACCCTTTCATAGTTGAAGTGTCGTGTTGTGCTGTATAAATCGGTGATCATAGGTCAATTAGGTAATAATATAACCACCGACCGGTTTATTAGAAGTGCGTACATAACGACGTGTTAGTAGGTGTTTGCATTTCACTGCATTCCTATAGTCATGGCAGAAGTAAGTATATAATAGTACAAGATTTTTAGTATCAATAACCTAATTCATAATTATTTAAGATTCAAGTATGTTCAACCAAGGGCACTACATACTGCAAAATAAAGCCAGGAAACAATTGGACTGTGCTGGATTTGAAAAATGCTATTGCTAAAGAAGCCCACATTAATGTAAACAGGCAATCAATAAGAGATGAAGTCAAGGGAAAAGATATAAGTAACAGTAGCACTTTGCCATCATGCAGCAAACTGTACTTGAAAGATTTGGGTCCACAGATCTCCTGGACTGGTGTATTTATTGCTGAATATTTTGGTCCATTAGTTGTGTATTCAATCTTTGCAATTAGACCTCAGCTTATTTATGGACATGAGGTTTCAGAAATGTCAACTGGTGCCTTCTTAGCATTGCTCTGTTGGAGTATGCATTACATTAAGAGACTGCTTGAAACCATTTTTATTCACAGGTTTTCTCATGGTACTATGCCATTGAGTAACCTGTTCAAAAACTGCAGTTACTACTGGGGATTTGCTGCATTTGTAGCATACCATGTTAACCATCCAAAGTTCACCCAACCCATTTATCCACAGATGTTTGTTGGTCTTCTGATCTTTGGTTTCAGTGAGCTTGGAAACTTAAGTATTCACATATTATTGAGGAATTTGCGTCCGGCCGGCACCACGACTCGCAAGATACCAGTACCAGATGGCAATCCTCTAACACGTTTGTTCAATTTAGTCTCATGCCCAAATTACACGTATGAGTACACGGCATGGTTAGGATTCTCGATCATGACTAGCTGTATTCCATCCTTCCTGTTCGCTTTTGCCGGAATGTTCCAAATGACCATCTGGGCTTTGGGCAAGCACAGGAACTACAAGAAGGAGTTCCCCAACTACCCCAAGCAACGCAAGGCCATCATTCCGTTCATCTTATAAAAGTTATACATTTATATTTAATGTTGTGGTAATGTGGATTTTCATTTGAAGTGTAATAATAAAGTTTTTAGTTATGTTTTTATAATATTCTTTGTATGTCTATGTAATAGAATTGTGTACAAATTTTGCGCGGGTAATAAAAGTTCTCGATTTTGTTTTACGTAATATATTTTAATTACAAAAGAAAACAAAGACAAAAATGTTCTACTCATTTGACCAAGGTCTTATATTATTCGAACATTAAGTTTTCATAACATTATGATTACCTAAAGTTGAAAATACCAGACTTAATAGAAAATCTATTAAGAAAGTTTAAATCACCTCAGTAGAATCTATTTAAAAAAAATACATAGCATATACATTAATTGAAGTATCTGCATAGGTAAATGATTCGAAGATTGTTTAGTTAATTTTTCTATGAAAAAATTCTAATTTGATGACTGATGCAATTTGTTGACCCAAAAGTTTAGAATAAGACATGCGTGTGTCGTATTCGATTCAAACCAAGATTCATATTATTAAATCGAATATATATATATGTGTGTGTTTACGCAATATGGGAGATTAGGATGCAAGCTTCATAATCTTCATTGGTGAAGAAAACTGGGCCTTAGGAAGGTGTGAATAAATAGTTAAGTATAGTGTACTAGTAATTAGTTCTCAAATATTAAAGCCAGTAAGTGAAGTTTTTATTTGGAGTCTTCTTAGGATGCGAGCCTGAAACTGTTATATGGAACTTTCACATACTTATTAATATAGGAAACAAGAAACAGCCAAAAAGGGGAGACAGTCGATATCCTCGTCAATTAAAAATAAAATAATGTGAACGATGTGTAAAAAAATGGGGTTTGTAAAAAGATGAGAAACGGTTGGAATGTTTATATAAATGTTTTCTTCATTTTTTTTTTATTTAAGTGCAAAAATGATATTTTGTTCTAAATAAAAATGCTTTTTATAAAAATAATGTACCTTTTCGAGAGGAAAAAAAAAATATAATGTATTTATATATATATAACAAAGAAAGAAATAATAAAGTGATGAATCAATTCTTATAAAAAGCTGCTGCTGTCATGAACTCCGTTGGTGGAGACGTAATTTAATTTCTTTTGTTTATACATAAAATAGCAGCAATAATCTTCAACAGTGCGTTGCGACACCTTTACATGTACAAAAGCAAACCTATGTATATATATTTTTATTTTTTTTCTCAATACATACAAAATAACACTGGAAATTGATAAAGCACATTTGTTTGAACCTTTGACTTTTTGAAAATTTGCTTTTCGACGGTAGCACGCATGAGTTCAACAGGCATTCACGTAAAAAAAGGTGCTCATAACATAAACGAACCAAAACTGATTAGTGCACCAATTTCCAATTTCACCCTGTATATGATTAATATAATATTTATAAATATATATATATATAACAACCGTCAACGGTAAACAAATTAAATAACCAAGCCCTTCTGGCAGTGTTAAGCCTAACCTAACTAAGCAATGAAAAAAGCAAATGTACGCGAATATTCGAATTGTTTTATAATACAGCGGAGGTTCTTTTCTTGTCAAAAATCAACAACATTAATAAAAGTAAAAATTACCTAAATTGTATTATAAAAAAATTCATGGGCGGCCACGCGGACAATTTGATTGCACCGCGTAACTTTGTCCCGGCAAACTAAGTTTACAAACGTATTTATATATATAAATATATATATATATATATTTTCATATTATTTATTCTATTATATATTAGATTTGCAAACTTTAAATATTATAAACTAGGAGAATTAAACCTAAAAAAATGGACGAATTCATATCCAACGTAGTAAATGGATAAAATAAAAAAATAAAAATAATAAATGTATAAAAAAAACAAATACAAAAATAAGTCTGGAAGGTGAAAACTACAAATGTAGAGAAGGCGGGGGCCGAAGGGAGAAGAAAAAAGGCTCAGGAAAGCTTATTAAGTTAGAAGTAGAGAGTTAATTTTGAGATTCTTAAACGTATGTGGCAACATTTGGTGGTGCCTGCCTCATATTAGTAGGCACGTACTGTCCAATAAATGAACCGTCCTCTGTGAATCGTCCTGCAAATAGAAACAAAACATGAGCACAAATACATGAGCATTGGTATATAGTAAATAGCTTATCCCAGAACCAGCTAATCCATTTTATAGATTAAAGATTACCACCAAGTGTACATATTAGTTAGAAAATAAGCACCCAGTTAGCACACCAAATACCAGTGAAGAATAAGAAGAAAAGACAAAAATAAAATAAATAAATCTTACGTTTTGTGTTTTTGTATGTTTTTTTGTTTGTTTTCATTTAAACTAAAGTAGCAAATCCTTGAGATGTGGTTTCGCCTTGCTTTCGATTACGGCCATACTGACCAATAAATGAACCGTCCTCATTCATACCCTCTAACGATTTAAAGTAAAAAAAAAAGAAATAATAAATAAAACGAACACAATGTAAAGAAAAACGTACTCCCCGAAATCAAAGAAAATTTAAGAATTTCAGTGGTTTAGTTTCTTACCTGTGTCGCCTTCGCCGTACTCAGCCATTGAATCCGTGTCACTTTCTGGTCCTTGTTTCGGTTCACTGGCTGTTGACTTGCCATCCAGAGGTTGGGAATACTCGTGGAATCCTCCGTCGTCGGGATAATCCTGTCGTCCGTTCGCTTGTTCTCGTTCGTGCACGGCATACTTGCCGCCTCGGTTTCGCTTTACAATGCACACAATGATAAGTACGAATAGTAGGAATGCTATTGCCACCATCATGCCAATAAACCAGCCAGCTGTAGCCACGTTCTCTCTGGGTTGGATAATCGGGCCTTCTACACCGTAGGTGTCCACATCTTGAGCTTGACTCTCGGCTACGTAGTTTCCATCCACAGCAACAACTGTGAATTCATATAGTTCGCCTGGCTGCAGTCCGGCGACAGTCAGGTAATCCTCGTTCATCTCTGGTGCAGTGCTCTCGCAGTTGGTCTCACCCTTCTTGCAGTACTTCACGAAAAAGTGAGAACCGGGACGTTCCAAATCTGGGATCCAGTTGACCCGAATAGATGCTAAGTTGCCTTTTACTGGTTGTCCAGCCCAGGTGAAGTTCGGAATAGCCGGCCGTACAGCATTAACGCCACGTGTAACACGTTCAATGAAATACCTAAAAAAATAAAAATGTATTTAGAAACATTCGATTACATCCGAATCGGAAATTACTTCTTTGATTCTCCGGCCGATGTAGTAGCACTAATGTACAGCCTGTATTTGACATTTGGTTGTAAGCCGGACAGTTTCGCCCTCAGCTGGTTAGGATTGTTGATTTGCGGGGTCCTAGCTATTTCATTACCCACTGCGGTACCATTTACAACGGCGTAATAAATCTTGTATCCCGTCAGAATTCCATTGGGTTGATCTGGCTTTTTCCAAGACAGTAAGAAGGCAGAAGAACCCATCTGGTATGCTTCTAGGGATGACATCTGCCCGGGAACTAAAAACATTAGGAGCATTACAGTCGTATCGGTAAACTAATGAAAATAAAAATGTTACCTCCTTCTGGTGTATCGAAGCTAAGCGTTTCACTTGGTGGTCCATGGTATTTTCCGTTGTGCACATAGACTTGAGCATAGTTTTTACTAAAAGGTACAAAGTTTGTAACCAATGCTTTGGTGGCCTCTCCCTGTACTTGAATCTCCTTGTGTCCTAATTTATTTTCAGTCCATGTTTTAATTTTGTAACCTATAAAATGTCCTTGTACAGATTCCAATGGAACTGGGTTCCAGCTAAGCAAGGCTGTTGTCGGTGATTGGATTTGGAGAAGAGTGAAGTTCTGCGGAGCTTGGGTCGGCTCATTTTCACCAGAGTAACCAATAACTTCTTCCGGCGAAACATCGGCCTCACCGAGTTCGTTCATTGCCACCACCTTAATCTTGTACCGTTGGAACGATGGTTGCTCATTGATCACAAGCTTATCCTGCCTCCAATCCAAAATATCATTAACAACGTAATCGGTGCCAGGGATGTCTCTTCTCCAGAACACCTTGTATTGGAATTTAGGAGCATTGTGTTCGATTTCTGGCATAGCGGTCCATCTAATAACCAGATTATCTGGTTTGTTACCCTCGCCTTCTACTCTATCTGGATTTTTATGAGGAACTTCTTGTTGCGTGGTGCAGACCTCAGAATGAGCAGAAGGATTTGATGAACCAATCTTATTCCACGCAATCACCCTGAACGTGTAATTTGCCCAAGGGCTCATAGGAACATTATAAGTGGTATCTGCGGCCGGAATGAAATCATAAGCGTTCACCCAAGTATCTGGGGTGAAGGAAGTATTATATTGGAGCGTGTAATGTAAAATCGGCGCCCTGTTATCTCCCATGGGCATCCACTGTATGGTCGCATCCTTCTTTTTGCAGATGATACTGTTTTTCATTGTAGGTGCATTCGGTACATCTTGAACAGTCAAAGTCGCTTGCGCCTGGGTCTCATCCAAAGGAGTTCTAGCAATACAAGTGTAGGTTGCCGAATCTAATTCAATGGTTTTTGTAATTGTCAATGAGTAATCAGATGTTTTCACAAATCTGGGCTCAGCACCAAAATCAATCTCTTGGCCGTTGTTCAACCAAATGATCTCCAATGGCAATGACGGATCCTGGACGGCGTTACATCTGAATGTGGCTTGTGTTCCTGCTGCTACTTCATAGTCCTCTGGGCCATCAGAGATGTAAGTGTGAGCTCTGACTGTGAACATGGCAGATGCATTGGCTCTACCAAACTTATTTTCTGCGTAACAGGTATACTGGCCGTTGTCATCGAATTGTACACTTTCTATATTCAAGTCGCCATTCTCCAAGACCTTGTATCTGCCGCCGGTCAACTCTTTTCCGTTATGAACCCACTTGACTTCCGGTTTCGGCGCACCGAACACTTTGCAGGTCATGTTGATGGTCTTTCCGTCAACAGCATCTTGATCTCTGGGAGCTTCAGTAATTTCTGGTGCCAATGCGAGAACATTCACGTAGACATCTTTGTAAACATAACCCAAAGAATTGGTGGCGTTGCAGCCGTAATTGCCAGTGTCGGTTTTGGTTAACCGCTCGATAATGATGTTGTTCGTATTCACCTTACGCCTTGGATTGGGCGAGGCTTCAGATATCGGCTTACCGTTATGAATCCATTTGATCTGCGGCTCTGGGACACCAGACGCAGAACAGCGGAATTGCACTGTCTCATCTTCGGCAGCGTTTATAATTTCCGGTTCCTCGGTGAAGAATGGAACTGCATACACTTTCAAGTTTATGCTGTATGACTGTGCCACACCCACGCCGTTGCTCACATCACAAGTATATTGACCCTCGTCTTCGAAGTCGACCAATTTTATTATCAGCGATTTCCCGTAATTATTCTGCGTCACCCTCTCCGAGTAAAGTATCTGTTTACCATCCTTCTTCCAGACCGTTTGAGGTAGAGGCGTCCCACCATATATACAGAATAGTTCGACCACTTTTCCTCTGTAAGCCACCTCGTTTTTGCGAGTTGCGTATTGGTAAACCGGTTCGTGTTTGTTTAGAGAGGAACCAGATCCAGATGGTTGCACGTTCAATATGACCCTATTGCCCAATTTGTATTCGAGTTTAGTAGAGGAGGCTGCGGCACACGCATAGATGAAGTCATCGCTGGCGTCTTCTCTGGTGAGATTCGAGAACCACAGGTTGCCCTCGGGATCAAGGGTCATGCGGGAATTGTTGATAGTCTTAAATCCATCCGACGTGAACTGTATTACCCAGTAGACCTTAGGTTTGGGCCAGCCGTCCGGAGGTTGACATGTAAGTTTAAATGGATCACCCTCATAGCCGACAACGGGCAATGGCAAAGAGTTCTTAAACGGGTTCAACTCGGCCTTCCGCATGAACACCGAGTTCGAGGTAGCAACACCGTACTCATTTTCGGCAAAGCATTGATACTGGCCAAGATCTTCATCCTGAGGTTTCGCTATGGATAAGGTTCCCCTTCCGGGCTGCTGCGAGATCCGGTCGTCGTAAGCTTGCCAATCGAAGGTCTTACCGTTCTTAACCCATCTGTATTTTGGTGCCGGCTCGCCGACCGCCTCGCATTCTATATAGAAGGGCTTGTCGTTTTCGTTGATGCCCACCTGAAAGAGGACTTCGTCTGTAGGTGGCTGTTTGATTATTCGCGGTGGCGATGGAACTGAAAAACACCAGAGGTATTAATCGATTGCAAACGAAAAACCCTTCCATTCTGGCTTACTTTCTCTGGCATCTATGAGTGCCCCGACCACGAGAAAACTAACTAGAGTGCGCGCCAACATGATTTCGAACTGCAAATACACAAGAAACAAACAAAAAAACACATAAATATTTGAAAATACGTTGAAGAAACAGAGGACAACAGCACCATTGAATAAATATAAATAAAAATGTGTCATCAAGCGAACCAAGGTCGTTTAGAAATAAAAATGTGAGAGCTGAGAACGACGAAAAAAAAAATAATAAGAACAGAGGTGAAGAAGCTTTGTTGAGATGACTGTATTACACAAGATACATGACTTTTGATAGAGTTGCGAAAACGGAAAATATTAACAATTAAAGAAATAGCACATGGTATGTGGGTGGATGAAGCCAGGCGCGCATGTAAATACCTTCAATTGCTTTTATTTATAATGGGTCGCCTAAGTATAAATAAGTAAGCTGCACTGTGTGTTCCACTTAACCGTCAAGTGTTTTCGCTGATATGATGGATGCGGCGGTTGAGGACGAAATGTATTTGAATATATTTTTAGCTTGGCCTGACATAATTAGTAATCAAAGAATTTTAAACATGTATGTATGTGTGTGTATATATATATATATGGATGATATCATTCTTGCAAAATGTCATGCTGAGGTTACTGAATAATGATGTCATTAAGGGGAAATGTTTTTTAATAACATTAGGGTTTCCTTTTTTAATTGAAACACGAAAAGGTGTGGCACTTCGTCCTTTTTATATATGTATATAATATATATCTATATATACTACATTAACTATTGATATTGCGACATATAGGTAAACCAACTAAATATATACATATATCTGTATATGCGATGATGAAGTCCGGAAAATGGAACCACGCTTCTAATGCAGATATCGAACGCAATGGAAGTTACGCGAATACAGGAATCAGGAATACAATCTGGGAAAATGATGTAAAACGTCTTGAGGTGTTTATATACGAGGAAACCATTCATGGGGAGACGTTCAATAAATGAGCGATCGGGGTTTTCCGTCAGGCCGATGCAATTAAAGAGCAGAAAGCGAATAAAAAAATAATAATAATGATGCAGATAGCAAAGAAGGTAATAGACAATTAAGCCTGTTGATTAGATAACAATAGAATCTTATCACTTACCAGATAATTGACGACGAGATCCTAGTTATCCATAATATTATGGTAGTAATGCGAGCACTATCCTAGTCTACTACAATCACAACAGAGATAGGTGCGGCCGTTGCGATCGTGTCACTGTTTGATGTTGCTTCTTTCTCCCACCCCCCGCGAACGATGTTATCCAATACAAGTCGACCGCGGTCCAGTCCCAAGAACTCTTATCCACAATGGCAATTAGTCACAATGTTCGCAATCAACGTTCACCGACCACTGTCTTCTGCTCTGCTCGCTCCTGACGACAAACCAAACTGCTCAAAACGAACTGCGAACTACCGATCGTTTTCTCTAGCTACTCCTTCTAGCCACCTCTTGCTAGCATACATGAAGCATTCCGTTTGACAGACGCTGCTGCTTTCAGCTGAAGAACATTACCAACTTAGGCATGTTTACGTTCCGCTCCAATGGGAGGCGTGAATCATGCAATAGAGGAGACGGGCATCGCCAATTCCCACTTTACAAACACTTTAAATCACTTTATTATGCCATTAAGGTAATTGCCCTATAATGTTACGAACGGAATATTCTCGCCCTGTTCAACCCCACAAACCCTACTAGGCAACCAGTCTAACTAGCGAAATGTCCGGACAATGACCTTCTGCTATGTCCAGGACCGTATCCAAAGACCTAGGTCCAGCGCCTCCCAAAACCCTACCATTAGCTAGTCTCACTCAATACGATTAACACTTGAATTAATATAACTTTTTAATCACGGATGCGGCATTACTCGAATGCAAACCACACAATACATATATGACTAATCACTATTCAACAGTAAAGAATTATGACTTCATTACATTCTTAAAATGTTTTAAATAAATAATAATCAATAAAGAATGATTATTTTCGTATTTTCTAATTGTCTTATGACTTAAAATAATGAGAGACAAACTGAAACAATATAATTTAATCTTATATTTTATAATTAAATTATGGGAAAATAAAGTATAGAAAATTGCAACTTTTGATTTAATAAATAATAATAAATGCATATAGTATTATGGTGGTACAAATAAAGAAGGAAAAATAAAAAGCTTTGTATTTGTTGATTGCAATAAAAATTGCTATCAATTATATAAACAGAATATAAGGAAATAAGAAAAATAATCATTCATAACGTGAAAGTCGTTATCAGTTACATGAGCAAATAAAAAATGGATATCAGTTTTATGATGGAATTATTATTTACATTATTTATTTACACACCTTAATGCTTCCTTGTATGATCTTTACACAACGATTTTTTAAATTTATCTTTTATTCTTTGTATATAATAAGAATGCTCCCGGGCAGAAAGACATGGTCAATAGCCCTTTGTATACGTTGACTTTTTTGAAATTATATATATTTATTTTGTTATTAAGAATGCAATATAAAATAATGTAAACTTTATATAAAAAGTCACTCTTTTGATATTTTATAATTAACGAGGACAGAAAGACTTTTTAATATTTATTATTATTACTATAATTTTTATATCATTTCAATTCCTGATTTAAATTAGTTTTACAAGAATCTCAAGCCAATAACATCTAAACTTTTTGCTAAGTGTATTACTATATAAAACAAGAATTTTAAAAATAAAACTAAGAAAAATATTGTTAGGCCTAATTCGTTGCAGTTCGTAAATAATCAAGGACGGTTCATCAATAGACACACGTGTTCCGAAAGATAAGAACATCATTGTGTACTATTCCATAACGAATCACTTCCGTTAACACGTTGGGATATAATTAAATATTTGCACAGTATGTTTGAAGTGGTTTAAGATTACCTTTAATATTTTCTTTTCTGTCAAAACGTTAAGTAATGAAGATTTTATTGCGCCAATAAAAAGGAAAATACAATAATAATAGTTATAAAATCAAAATGTTAAATCCTGTAAAGGACTTTTTTATTGCTTGTATTTTATTAGTCTTATAACAGTGTTTGTAATAGTTAAAAATGATAATCCAAATGATTCAAGACAAAAATTTACCTCTAAAACCGGTTTGAAAACTTCATTTTATCATGACTAATCAAATGCGGATTTAATACAATTTAGTTAAAAAATCGATGATTAATGTATGTCACACGCATGCGTATTCTGCAGATTTGATGGTTATAGACTAAGTTGAAAAGGTTATAGGAATGATAACAGTCATTGGATTGTCCACTGGTTACGTCCCTGGTCAGACGCATTATTACGCAACTGAATCAATCGCGCCCGGCCGTCTTAATAATCGGGCAGAATCTGAATGTTCCATTCCATCCGTTACGAGCTCACTTAGCAGCAATTGGCGGTCAATCAGTGACCACGTTTTTAGCTCATTTCCCAAAAACAATCTTCCAAGGTTGCGCCCATCGCTACGTGATTCAAACAGATACGTCACGCTTCCGTTGAAACGCATTACTAATTGTTATTAATAAGAACAACGTGACTTGCAAATGATTTATTCATAAAAGTATGATAATACTGTGGGTTTGATATAAATATGATACATTTTAAAAACGAATCTATGATGTTTGGTTACCGCGACTAAGCATCATCCATACGTTTTTGGTTTACTTAAAATTAAAAAACATCTAATTCCAGCGATCGAATCCGATGACTTTTACTTTATCCTTGCCCGAAGAGCAAAATCCTCAATCTTCGACACTCTTCTGCGTCCTCATCTAAAAATAAACATTATTAATCATTCGCTCATTCTCTATTACTAATTCACTTCGAAAAAAAAATGCTTGTATCATAAATATTTGCCGTAACGGTAATTGTCATTAATTTTAAGAATAATATTTAAAGTTCATTTTAGCGTTGAACTCATTTTTAAAATGACATAAACAAATTGATATATAAATTTCAATATTCGTGCTTTTCAATTATATAAATTAATTTTGATCTAAGAATTACGATATTTTTATATATAAAATAACGTAAAACTATCATGTAGTTTATATACAAAAAATTTCGACATATTACTCAAGGTTAGTATCTGCGCTCTATGATCAAGCCAAGGTTTTGATTAACCTGTTTTCTCTAACTAGATCAAATCGGTTACTTAATAATTGTACTATACTTTAGACAACCAGTTTAACTGTGCTATATTTTTTACGTAAAAGTATACGTCATTGTTTTTTAGAAATGTGACTCACACAGACTCATGATTCAGATATAAATAGTTAGCTGTTAGGATTGGAACTTGATGTTCATATATATGCAATTCCTTGTGCACACCAATATTATATCATCTCCAATAATATCGATTTAATTTTGGTAATGACTTATCAAAGACCTCAAATTCAAATTCCTGATTATCACTTAATTGAGTTTAATTTGGCATTAAACATATATTATATAATAATGATTTAATTTAAGTTCTCAAGTTTATTAATTGATATAATCCCTAACTTATTTATCTCGGGAACAGAAGAATATCGAAATATAATTTTTGAACATAATTATATTAGAATATTTAAACATTGAATTAAAATTGTTCTTTAGATAATTGTTCATATGTAAATATTGGTATTTACAGTAATACTACTTTATACCTTCATTTTAACGTAGAATAACAAGTTTACTAAGGAAGTTCTTACCAGTTGCAGCCTCGTGCCAATGTTCGTTAGAAGTACAGAAGCCTTTTGAACATCGTCGTCGATTTCCAACAGGATATTTGGATCATATGGTCTCCTCGGAATTTGCATTCTACATTCAGTGGGAGTATTAAAAGAAACATTTCGGACTTTGGGAGATGAGAATCTGACGATGGGTTTGCGTGAAGTCCCATTGTCCGGCAATTCTGCGTCACTGAACTCCGATGGTTTACTAAAAAAACAGAAACTGTATATCTATTTGATGTTGCCTTCCTCGCAACTTACAAAAGGTTTCTCTTCTTTAATGGCGTTTTGATGATAATATTAGGGATGCCGTCATTCTGCGAGTTGTTCATACTGACTTTTCGGATTACCTGGGTACGCGGCGTATGAACGCTCCTGGCGATCAATTTGGAATCAATCCTGTTCATTTTGAATTTGCCTACATTGGTTTGTGAGCTATTGTCCTTGCAGGAGAAGATCTTGCGTATGGCCCTATGACTAGCTTTCCGAAAACTATTCAGCTTAGACCGCTTCGTGATCAAGATCTGATCAGAGTCGTCTACTGAGTGCACTTCCGAGTCGGTCCCTGAGGAATCTGTATAATCTGAAGAGCAATGGTGACTTGTCTGGGAGACGTCCGAATGCATAGACTCGTCAGGAAGTTCTGAAGCATACATCTTCAGCTGTGCTTCCATCCTTGACAACTCCAGTCGAAAATATTCTATTTTCATGTCCTTAGCTACATTATCATTCAGGACCTTAGAGTAATTTTTATTTAATGTCTCCAGTTGCATCTGTAGATCGTCGATTACCGAATTGCTCGACGATTCCGGTTGCGTAATGTTCAGATTGTTCATGAAGGTCTCCTCCACATTGTTCCTTTTATTGAGTAAGTGCTGTCTTTGTATGTTCTTCCTATACAGCTTCACTTTACTCTCCACGTGGTCATAATTGTTTTTTTTTCTAGCGCTCGCGAAGTCTACATCCGTTGATTGCAAATCATTCATGAAGGAGCACTCGGACTCTTCATCTATATTCTCGCCCTACAAATACAAATACTCTGTTAATAAGAAGTGTTATAACTTATAGCTGGACTTACCACAGATTCCTTTGATTCTTCAGCCATACCGACGATACAAATTAAATTTTTAACAATACATAAAAATTGAAGAAAAAATAGCGTAAAATAAAGTTTTGATAACAAAAGGCGCGTATTTTTTGAAAGTTCGTCGCGCCAAGTTGGTGGCATTGAATCTTCAGTCGAGCAAGCGCGCTACTGCAGCGGTCCTGATCAATCAGTTTGCAGATTGCACGCATATTCGTCTAACTGTAGGCCAGAAAAATAACACAAGATGTTCCGCAATTCCTTGGTTCGCGTTGCCTCTGTGCTTAAAAATGTTGCGGTTAAGCCCAATGCCCCGGCTGCCGTGAGGTTCATGTCCTCCCACAACACCGAATCCGACGAGCAGTTCGACAATAGGTAAAAAAATTACGTAATTTTGTTGGTTGTCTCTTGAGGTTATCCAATACGAATGTCAATCTATAAGTTCTCTAACGTTTTAGGTATGAGACCTACTTTAACAGGACCGACATCGATGGTTGGGAAATCAGGAAGGGAATCAACGATATCGTTGGTCAGGATTTGGTCCCAGAACCTAAAATCGTCATCGCTGCATTGAAGGCTTGCCGCAGGGTGAACGATTTCGCCGTCGCCGTACGTTTCTTGGAAGCTATCAAAGACAAGTGTGGCCCTAAGGTTAACGAAATCTACCCATACATCATCCAGGAAATTAAACCCACACTCATTGAGCTGGGTATCAACACCCCAGAAGAGCTGGGTTATGACAAGCCAGAGATGGCCATCCAGAACGTCTATGAAATCCACTAAACTATGTGATTCTAGGCAAATAGTTGAAATAATGTTTAATTTATAATCTACAAATTTTCAAATCGTTTCAAAAGGAAAATAAATTTTCAAAAAAGAAACTTACTCCTTTTTGATTTACTTTTATTTATTTGGTAGTGTACAATATTATTGTTTGAAAAGTACATATTTTTTTTGCTTTTTTTACATGTTTCCATAGTTTCACAGACAACAAGAAATTATTTTAACAGTTTTTCCCATTCACACCACCCATCCATATAATACAACATGGTATAAAATAGATTAAAAATAGACCTTTATTGCATATTGTAAAATATTCTATACCACTGACTTATATTTTGTGTAATTCATTTTTCCCAGACGAAAATTAAAACTATTCATTAAAATTATAGTAAGAAGAGAAATTAAATATTACCTATACAAACACACACATGCGCGCCGCAAACATCAAATCATATTCTATACATATATATATATATATAAATATACGACATGGCATAAAGTAAATATTAATAGTCTCCAATCTAAACACTGACTGAAAGTGTATATTGTGTGTGTGTCTGCATAATCAGACAGAACATTAGCTCAAAGAAATAAACGATTTATTTATAATTATTTTCTTTACAAGTGCATTGCATGCAGTTTTTTAGACAATGCATACATGCACCTGTGTAGACAGAATTCTTACAAATTGACAAAATTAAAAATTATATTCTTACAAGTGCACAGCAATCACGGTTCAACTATATACAGAGAAAACAATATACATATAGGTGTATATTGCAAAGACAAGAAAAGAACACACATCAATGGAAACACTAGGTTTCCCAATGGAACTACAAATGATCAAATGAAATTGAAGAAATTATAACTTATATTCTCAAAGCAAGTGCACCATCAGTTGGTAAAATGAATAAATACACAAATACAAATACGGCTTTCCTAGTGGAATCACATATAATACAAAATTTCTTTTATATATATATATATACTGATACAAACAATACGCACAATTGTTAATAAAAAAAAAAACAACGCTCGTTTTCTTTATATTCCCTCAGTTGTATGTACTTCGATCTATATATGTATATGAATAATTGTCAAATTAATGTTTTTTTTTTTGAAGTACATAACAGGATCAAGTGCGCAGTGTCCATAATACAAAATATAAAGTTTACAAAGAAAATCTGACAAAGAAAAAAGAAAATTGTGATTCGTGACAAATATTGTAACAATAAAATAATAATAAGATAGAAACAGAACCGGTGCATGGTTTCAATATCACATTCACACAACTGTGTATATATATCTATATGCATGTAAACCGTTGTTCCAATCACATACGAAACTGAATGATGTAACTTTACATAGAGAGACACTGAAGATTAGAACAGACATTGTGCAATATGAAATCGAGTGCAATACATACGTTGTATTATTATCTTTTTTTTCTCCTGCTTTCATTTTTCTTTTCATCTTCTTTAGGACAAAAAAAACTCATTAAATGTAAAGACATAATTACGTACATACATACAAACATACATACGATCGCCTATATTCGTGATCCGTTTGATTTAAACTTTTTTTTTAGATATTAAAATAATGGCTAGCAATGTAACACAAATGTGTGTGTGTATATAAATATATGTACATTCATACCTACAAATATGTAAAAATGTATTTACAACTGGTTTGCGTTTGATAAACAAAGTAAGATAGAGAGGAAACAGTAAATGAAAATTAATATTCAATTATTTGTGGGTCCCATAACATACATTTATATACATACAAAATATTATTAATTACCTGAAATAATTATTAAGAATTACAAAAAAATGAAAGAAAAATAACATTAAATGAAGATCATTCTCCTATCAAAATCGATACATATATATATAAAAAAAATACATTTTTTTTATATATATATACATAATATATATACGTTTGCGGATTGTATAAATCAGAATCCGTTAGTATTCGGAATGACGTTCAGTGGAATCTCCATTTATCTACCTCAAATTACGTTGTTTATCTTTTTGATAGAGATTCCATAAATCTAGATACATAATCGTTTGTTTTGATAATTATTTTTTTTATACTTTTCTCGTTTGTTTTAAATTTCTTGGACTAGGAATCAGAATATATATATTTATATATATATATGTGTGTGTAATAAAAAATATAAAATACAGCATTAAAATAATATTACTAATAATAAAATAACAAAAATCGCAATTATAATATGTACAGATAAATTAGGGTATAATATATATATATATAAAAAAAAATTATTTGTAAAAAGTAATCTTGGTTCTCTCTATTCTGAATTCAAAGTCCAATATCAGTAAGATATGGTGAATGAGTCATTCCTTTTGGTAAGGTAACAAATAATAACCTAAATCTAATTACTAAAATTATAGTAGGTACATATTTTGATGCCTTTGGCACAGACTGCAACATAATTAAACAATCGCTCCTACAGCTAGTATTTCAACCCACAGATGAGACACACTCACAATTACCACAACATCATATTTTTTTTTAGTTTTGTTTATATACATACATAATTAGGGTGCAGCAATTCGTGCGACCTGTATCTGTTTTTTTAATTTCCTTAAATTTCTTACGTTAGTTCTATATATTTATTTAGCCCTGTTCACTGATTATTGTTTCCTCTGTTTTGACATCGGCAATACTGGCCATGGCTTTTGTAAGCACAGTGGCATCTTTTAAAGATAACACCTGTAATACCTGTGGTCCTCCCTCGCCGGTGCTTTGTATCATCATAGAGTGGGTGGTCAATCCTCCTGGTGTCACTGTTAATGTTTCCATTCCGTCCGAACTATTCGGCTCCACTTTTGGTACTTGGACCACTGGGGTCACGCAAACGGTACCGTCGCTGTTTGTATGTAGGTGCTGTATGTTGGCCACCATAGTTTGATACATCGATGCAGATACTGGTACCGTAATCACTCCACTCACTGCCGCAAGTAATAGCAATTAATCGATAATATTGGTTTCAAATCATAGTCAGAACCCACAAGTTCCCTGTGATGTCTTATAAGTATGTACTCGTGGTCTCAAAAGCTTCATACAAAGGTTAAATAGTAGAACTTACCATGACCATCTTCACCAGTTAAAATAATTTGTCCCTCAGAATTTAATGTTGCTTCGGTAACAGAATTCAAGTCCATGACTTCTGCTTGACCGCCTTCAGCGATCGTCTGAATGGTATCACCCTGTGCAGACTGGATAGTTGCCATACCCTGGACGTGTGCCGTAGTGCCATCTGGTAATGTGATGATCGGGTTGTTCGGATCCACCTGCACAATGCTGACTGTACCATCCGGATTTGTAATGGTGTGCAATACGGTAGGCGCGTATTGAGCGGTGATCTAAAATAAAAAATCATACGTAAGTCCAATTGAATATCAACTTCAGAACTAAATAGTATTAAATTTAGATATATATATATCGATAATATATCAAACTAAAGACTACAAAACCAAGCTAGCACACCCACGAGCAACTAAATCATAAAAATAATAATATTACTATTATAATAATAATTGTAAAAAATAAAATAATGTGATAAAATAATCTTTTTAAATCAAAACATAATAACACGTGACAACATCTATAGGTGGTGTAGTGCTACGAACATCGACATCTGAACTATAGCCGGTGGGGTCGAGGCAGACCTGCGCCGAGGAACCCGATATGGCATCGGCAGAGGTGGTTATTATCTGCGGGGAACCGTTAGCTTGGATCTGTATCTTATGCATCCCAGAGGAATGCATCTTCAAAACACTACCAACATTGGCATTAGCACGTGCTGTTGCATTGGTCTTCTCGTCCTCCTCAGTGAATGCGGGAAGGAGATCCTCTCGTCCATGGTACTTATAGCAGTTCACCACAATCTGCCTTAGAGCGTGAGTCCAAGAAATCTGCAACGAAACGAAAAGCGTTAATAACACCCTCTTTCTTTTATACATAAATTTATGATATTAGGGAGACATCTTTTGGAGTAAATAAGAATCTAGAATCAAGGGTAGGGGGTAACATTATGTCAGCTATGAGCATAGATAGGCCAGTTGATTAACATGGAAGTAATTTTTTTGCAGTGGTTGTTTTATTTATATAATATATTTGAAGATGTATGTATGGAAGCATAGTAAACGTGTCCGAATTTACCTTCTGTTTTTCATCTTCGCTACGGGCATCCATCCTGACATTGGCCCAGGGCAATTCTTTTGGCCACCACGGTGGCCTCGTCGAGTCTCTGCCCCATCCAGGCTTCCCACGGCCAGTGGAATATTTAAGCATTAACGGAATAAAAGCTCTAAGCTGAGCTTGCGTCATTTTCTCGACGGGAGTGGGTATTCCGTCAATGATAAGGGGAGGTAATTCGAAAAGCGTAGGATCATCCTGGACTGGGGGTGGGGCTTGGTGAGCCAAGGCGCTCTCTAATTCTTCGATGATGACGGTTCGCAGATTCTTAATTACATCTTCGAGTGGCTTCGCGCCAAACACCTTGTAACTGGTGTCCGGTTTTCCGGGCGTAGCGACCAGCACAATGGCTTGCTGACCGACTCTGGTGGCAAACTCATCTATCGTCTGCCTCAGTTTACGCAGCAACCTATTTTTCTGTCGCTTCCGGATCGAGGGGTTTGTCTCAAACGAATGTAATCGTTTCCTTTTCTTTGCAGACACAATGGCAGCAGCAGCAGCAACACCAACAGGACCAGCTGCAGCTAGTTGTGCAGTGACATCATCTCCCATGGCTGCTGACATAAGATCCCCAGACTCATCATAGGTGGACCCAGGGGACGATGGACAGTTGTCATCATCATCATCTGAACCACCAGACATCCCACTTGGTGAACCCACCACCATTGTAATTTGGTCTGATTGACTGCCGTTAGAGGTATTCATCATCACCATTTACAAAAACCCCAATTGCAGGGTAGCTTCCGGCTAAAAACAGAAAAGAAGAAGAACCTTAAGGATGTGTCCTGAATAAACCTTGAAAGAGCATGGTGAAGATTAGAAAAGGAAGACAACAGAGAGATAGACAGTGGTTTTGAAAAGCAAATAAACATAACAGAAGAAATACGTGTTTACGAAAACATGTGTGACGATAATTCTGGTGAGCTACAAAATCAATAATTGATACCCCATCCCACAGACTGACCCCTTACTTTGCTTCTTTTTTTCTATAATATATTTATAATTATGTATGTATTAATTTCTTCGCTCTGTTCTCACGCTAACCTTAAGGTTAAAGGTACGGGGGGAACGGAAATCGGGGGGCTGCATTTGGTCCCGTTTCGCGGCGAGTCTTCGAAAACATTGCTTTTTGTAAATAAACAAATTGGCGCGATCGGCGTGAAGCTATTAACCAACGACAACAGCAACGAGAAGCGTTGAGCGGCAACCGCTTGTTCCGTGGGTTCGGTTTCAAGGAACGCGAAGCGATTTAACATGGCTACCCAAATATCGGGCCGGCGATGGTGTGCCTGGGTACGACCACGCGACCATCGCTCGGTACCCGGCCCATGCCATGACCCATCGCGTAACCAAAACAAAAACAAAACTGTAACATATTAGAGAAACATGTTGGAAAGAGAGTCGCGCGTCCACCTAAGGTTGAGCTGAGCAGGCCCAGTTAAAATTATTAGTACGGCTGCGTACGCACCTGCGTGTATGTAATGCATTTAATACAAAAACATGTCTGGGTGTCCGCAAATGCGGGCTAAACGTCTTATCGTGTACATTTTTTAGGTTTTGCAATTCACAACCGTCATTTTCACACTATCGCACATACATGACACTCCACAACCGACATTATACGTCACAATCTCGAATATCGATCGGTCCCGACAACAGAATGCAATGTCCGACATTATTTTGGTACCAGCCATATTTTTAGAGTCTGCGCAATTCTAATATTGAGCGAGCAATAAGATAATTTGACATACCTGATACTTTTTTCCTGCACTTATATTTCATAATAACAACATTTCCACTGCTGTTGAAACGCACGAACTCTATTTTTCTGTCTCTTTAACACAGGATACGACAGCCATAGCCGTAATCAGTTGGGCATTATACTGAAATAATTTGGGCGGCGAATCATCGTTTGATTTTGACATATGACCCTCTCTGATGGCCACTAGCTCCGTTTACTACCATCTCCTACCTCCCCCCAGTGGGCGCTACGCACCATTATTTCACCTAAACAAAAAACACCAAATATAAACAAAAACACCCTTCGTAATACTCCACCATTTACAAATTACCTAACTTAAAACATAAGAAAAAATGTACAAGAGTAATACTACAACTATTGTTTTACAATATCAAATATCCGCATAGTTATGCAACCAGTCAATGTTCATATACTTTGGAAACCCGATACCCAAAAGGAATAAACACATTTATTCAATCAAACAAATATACACACATTATATCAAATATCTAGTCATAGTTTTTTTTTAATAATTTAATACCAAAAACAATGTTGTGAAATTGGACACTTAAATGCAAATAGAATCAAAATCAAAATATAACTTTAAAAGCAGTAACAAGATCCTTTGTTGTTAAACTTAAATACGAAATATTGTTATTTCCGTTTTTTTTTATTAATTTCTTTCGCACTGATATCCATTGGTAAAACTTTGAACATAATACTCAACAACTAGAGCCACCTAGAGCCCAAGATCGAATATGATTATAATTATGCAACCAATTATGCAATTGAAATACAATACAAACATATTTAATAGATTATATTCTAATGATTGGCGTTAGGCGTCGTTAGGATACATCTAAATTTAGATAGCTATTAACAAATAAGAAGTATTTGCAAATCTAATTATTTTCCTATGTATATAGTCATTTAATAGGCATAGAAAGATCTGATATTCTAAATCTAAAGCATAAAACAACTTATGGGTAAACATATGTTTTCAATCCTTATTATTTATTTATATGCTTTCATTTGTAACGATTATCTGGAAATGATGTTTGTGTAATACATGTGACTATAAATATCCAAGGTTGGATGTTAAGTAGTACAATGACATGCATAAAATGAACTAGGTCCTGCCTGGTCAAGTATTTGTTTATTTGGTTGCATAAGATAAGAATATACCATCATGAACCCTTCTGTTGTAGTTTTATATGTATTTCTATATATAAATGTTTATTGTATATCTTTAGACAAAGTTTAATTCATTAGATCATGTCCAGTAATATTTCGACATCCAAATTATTATGTATTTATATATTGGTGAGTCATTTATGAAGTCATAATCACTACACATCAAGTTGAACATATTGCAATTAGCATATACTAAAACTGTCTTAAGAAAAACAATAAAGAGTTAAGTTAAAGTGTCTTAATAAACGATTTCAGGTCTCGTACACTTCTCAACTGCAACAAAGTTAAAGTCGAAGCACTGCATTTTTTGTAAATGTTTATTTAGTAACAGGACTGGTTCAATGTTGTGATACTGATTTATATTACAAAGTTTTGACTATCTATATTAAATTACACAGTTATAAATTGAAGTTCTTACAATAAAGAGTTTTGTTTATACTATTTCTATGAATAATCTTTGCCAACTCATCTTTGTCGTTTTACTAGGGCATCATATATGTAGTTGATGACCATTAGATAATACTATATAAATAATGTAATACTTACAGTATATTCCTTAAACCTATAGCTTTCTTTTCTATAATTCCAAACTTCTATTCATGAATACAGATGGAAAACTAAAGACATTGCTGTTAGACAGATAAAGTTTCATGAAAACAAACGCATTCCCTACTGAATCATATCAGTATACTGTATCTTTATACAAAGTACTTATGCTTATTTAAATACTTTTTGTTGTATATATCTACTATATCTGTTTGTTTTACAAATGAAATCAAGTCTTCAAAGCATAAAATTATCAAAGTTTCGTTTATTTTGAATTTTTTTTCATTAAATAACTTTCTTTAAAAATTATGTTTTTCTCTACACAATGATAAATACTTCTATAATATCTTTGTGATTGGTGACAATCTACTTATTACTAACATTGAATATCTAAAATCATAATTAAAAATTTTGAAGTTATTATACATATTTAAACATTTTTACGTAATAAATATGTATTTCACATAATTTGCTCGAGCTTTGGACGTTTTATCCAACCTCCGCGCGACGCAGCCTTACGCAACAGAAGCAAATAACTGAAGGCACAGCGTAGCATTACGTAATCAGCTTGAATTTCCATAAACAATCCATACTCTGTGTTTGAGTAAGCAATTAAATGCAATTTAGCTGCCAGCGCCGATATGGAAAAGCTATTATAATACAATTATGAAACATTAGTGTACATTAATGAAACGCAATTTCTATTGGAATTTTGCAGAATAGTCCATTGTTTTTGTTCTCTTCTACATTGTAGATTGTCTGCATGATTTGTTACTTGCATGTCAGTTATTAATATTTAGTAATATTACATAATAAGAACAGTCGATTCCGCTTAATCCGGACACCGGTTAATCGGGACAAATCCTAAAAAACGTAAACAAATCGAGCAAATAACAAATCCGCTTAATACTAATGTGTCCCGATTAAGCGTATATAGAACGAGAAACAAATATTGTAATCATTGATAAATTATTTCTAAAATTATTGATGAGACTTTTATGATTTCATCATAGTATTTTTCATTGATTACTTGAGTAATTTCTTAAAAATGATTACTTATCACATCAAGGAAACCTATTAGCTAATATAGTTTTTTTTTAAATCTGTTTATTTAATTTTTTTTTTAATTTTATCAAAATGCGATACGAAATTTAGTTTTTCGATTAATTTCATAATATTTTTTTAGCCAGTTTCTCATGTTTAAAATTACTTCCAATTGGTATTTAGAAAATTATAAAACTTGAATGTAATTAAAATAATTAATTTTCTTAAATTTAAGTCGAATATGTTTATTATTGAGAATTTTTGATATATCTAATAGAGTTTGATAATTTCAAAGCAAACTAAATTTTTAATTGAGATTTTTTTTTATTATTATTAAAGCAATCTATCCACTGACATAGATATCAAGCTTTACGAATGTGGTAAAAAGAAAATAAAAAAGGACACTATAATACTTAATGAAACGCTATTATAATACAATTATGAAACATTAGTGTACATTAATGAAACGCAATTTCTATTGGAATAGTCCATTGTTTTTTTCTCTTCCACATTGTAGATTGTCTGCATGATTTGTTACTTGCATGTCAGTTATTAATATTTAGTAATATTACATAATAAGAACAGTCGATTCCGCTTAATCCGGTTAATCGGGACAAATCCTAAAAACGGAAACAAAACCGAGCAAATAACAAATCTGCTTAATACTAATGTGTCCCGATTAAGCGTATATAAAACGAGAATCAAATATTGTAATCATTGATAAATTATTTCTGGAATTATTGTTAAGACTTTCATAATTTCATCATAGTATTTTTCATTGATTACTTGAGTAATTACTTGAAAATGATTACTTATCACATCAAGGAAACTATTAGCTAATATAGTTTTTTTTTTAAATCTGTTTATTTTTTTTTTATTTTATCAAAATGCGATACGAAATTTAGTTTTTCGATTAATTTCATAATATTTTTTTAGCCAGTTTCTCATGTTTAAAATTACTTCCAATTTGTATTTAGAAAATTATAAAACTTGAATATAATTAAAATAATTAATTTTCTTAAATTTAAGTTGAATATTTTTATTACTGAGTATTTTTGATATAATTAATATAGTTTGATAATTTCATAGCAAACTAAATTTTTAATTGAGATTTTTTTATTATTATTAAAGCAATCTATCATCTGACATAGATATCAAGCTTTAGGAATGTGGTAAAAAGAAAATAAAAAAAGGACACTATAATACTTAATGAAGAGATGATCCAACAACCCCACTTCAAATATACAATAATTATTTATGCACTTGCAAACATTGATTTATTGATTATTAAAATCGGTTGGGTAAGTCTTGCGGTTTAAACTTCTTCAGTCTTCGACGATGATCTACAGCAGTGGTTTCCAAACTTGATGTTACTACGCCTCCCTCAAAAGTATGTAATCATTTGGCGCCTCCCCACCCCCCTCCATTTCATAAAAGGAACGCGTATTACAGCAATATGGATAAGAGCACAGGAATGTATCTATACTTGCTGGATTCCCCAAACATTCAGCTTTCATATCCATATATTGGATTGATTCTATCTATTATAGTTTTAGAGTAAATCAATGAAATGTGAAAACACTGCTTTTTCGAACGTTCTAATTTCAATTTTTCAAATTTGAACACGTATTGCAG